TGTATTTACAAGTGCTTTCTTAGAGGGCTTTACTTTAGCTTCATGTAATTGTCTTTCCCACTGTTTTCTGTGCAAAGTGTAGAGCTTCATTGCTACCTGTGCATCTTGTACCTGGTATAAATATAAATATAAATATAAATAGGATTGTGAATTTTTTTCAGGTGTTTTTGTTCAAAATTGACCTAAAATCAATAAAAACCAGTTAATTTGGCTGTTATTCCTTGATCAGTTAGAGAAAACAAATCCAAGAAAATGGATTCCACAAAACTTTACCTCCATAACCCTCTATACCCTAACATTAGCATCCACATTCTTCACACTGATTTCTATACATTTCTTGTGTTATTAACAAAAAGAATTTGTTGAACAATCAGGAGCTTCTTCATTTGGTGATCATTTGCATTATTCTCTTAACCATTACATGTGATTAAAGAGTGATATTGCAAGGAGATATTGGAAGCCAATCACTCGTTTGGGTTAAAGGGCTAATTCCCTGCTCCATTTTTCATACCAAGTCTCTTCCTTATACTAGAGAAAGTATTTACACCATGAATACTTACAGAAGAATGTTCTCCTTCTTGAATGCTGATATTCAGTAACTGCTTAGCAAGTTTTCTTAGTGAAGGGGTTTTAGTCTAGAGATAAACAAATGATACAAATAGCAAATGACTAAAATTGTGTTGCTCAGTTTTAAAAATAGGCAGTCTGAGACTGCATGTGGCTACTGATATACAATACCAAAATTTGTATGGCATTGAACAGAAATAGAGATTGCATAATGATGCTAGAAGCTAGTGTTGCAGAAGATTTGTATTCACATGCAAAATGGAAAACCTGCTACATATAACATATTTCTGAGTACCCTGTTCCACATTAGAAAGATGATTCAAAAATAAAGTACCTAATTGACATTCAAAAAATATTGAATAGCACCAAGCGGTCATATTAACAATTAGTAATGATGATAACAATAGTAATATAATAATGATTTTGAGGGGGCTTGCTTGAAAGCCTCACTGTTTCTTAATCCTCTAGGGACCAATAATTATTAAGCTATGTTTCTTATCTATAATTGTAAATCATCCTGAGATGATTGTGAGATGTGTTATCATCTTCTATAGTACTCTGAAGCAAACAATATAAAGCAAAAGGAAACATTGGGTCAAGTTTGGGTCAGTGTCGGAATTCTATTTTTACCAACACTCACTCTCTCATTTTGGTAACATATGTGGCTTTGCCTCCGGTAGGAGGCAGTGGCCACAAAAATTACAGCCTTGAATCTACTGTGTATAATTTGCTGTTTCGAACAGTGAAATACTCTGTCTTTAACCCTTTAACTCCCACATCAAATTAGTAATTCTCCTTACAGTCAACCATACAATTCTTGTAATATTAGTTCAAAGAATTTTGTATTGGATCAACTAATTATCCCCAAATTGATTTTTTTCTCTTTTCTCACCACTTATCTGGTTGATATTGTATTGATATCGTAAGGAGAAATTCAGTCTTGGTCACTCATGGGAATTAAAGGGTTAAAGAAAAACAATTTCCTCATAGTTTTCGTGATGCACCAATTACTTCCACTAAGATCATCCTGTGTCACAACAAGAACTGAAAAATTATATCTTTGGTTGTATAGGGCATAATTCATTGATTGAAATGGTAACCACTGAGAAAATATTGTCTTGGGTGTTCTTAGGTACAAAGTAATTTTGTTTCAAATGCACTCTTCTTTCTTTAGTGTATACTGAGCCCAATAATCTTTAACTACGAGGTACTCTGGTGAGGGTCAGAGTCTGGTGAGGTTTAACTTTTCTTGTTACTTACCATCACTCATCTAATAACAGTGTGGCTTTGCCTAATATAAGGAGGCAGTAACTAAAGAAACTACAAACTATTGCAGAATCACAGAAACTTTCTGATCATTTCTCACCAATAAGAATTAAATAACATCAGTATTATAGTTTAAACCCTAAAAGTTTGAATCGAGTATTGTTTTTAAGTACTCTCTCTTTCCTCTGCATCAATCAGATGCAAATTAAAACCAGTCTCAGCTCATTAAACATTTTTGCACACTTGAAGCTGTTTGTGCTTACTCTTAAGTTCTCAATATCTCCAATAAAATTTAACCTAAAGTCTGATTTGCCAGATTGATCATATTAGTTTCTGTTTTGTGTTCTTTCTTATCTTAAGCATAACAGGTAATTAAAAAATAACTTTTCAAACTGATAGGAAAGTACTTTCACCTGTTGAACTAACAACCAAGCAATTTTAGGCATTTATAAGCTGGTAAAGGAGAACACTGTCTGTTTCACAGTGTTTGAAGCAAAATTAATAAGTATACCCATACAACAGTCATTCAAGATGACTGTAAACACTATATCTAGTGCAAATTACAGACCCACAATAAATTATCTTTCATTGAAAGGATTTAGCACAAAGAACAGTTTTCTTACCTTAACTAGTTTTTGGAATGGTTTATACTTGGCAGTATCTCGTATATTTTTCCATGGATGATCAAGTAGCAGTACCTAAAGTTAAAAAAAAAAAGAAAAAAATCAACTTTAACCCTGTGACAAACTTCCGTACCTGTTTAATCCTTAGCCCCCTAAGAGTGCCTAGCATCTAATTTTCTCTCACAATAATCACCCCTTAATCAAACATTAAGCAGTGCTTTCAATAACACCCAGCACTTGCCGTAGCTTTGGCTGGTGTTCTGTTGAGTATACTTAATCATGTCCATATCAGACTTACAGAACCAAAAAAAATTAATGAATAACTTAGAAAATAATTGTCAATTTAGTATTGGAGTATTCACCCCATTTATTTTTAAAATACTGTGGTCTTTTTTTTTTAGATTCATTATTTCACTATCAGTTTCTTTTTTTTTTTCCTTTGTGTGTTCTATAAAAATTCACCATGCATGAAGTAGAAGTACACATTGTCTGTTACAACAAGGTAAATAAAACAACAGCAGTTGTTCTCAACTGCTAGTAAAAAAAAAAACTTGATAATCAAATTTGTTGTTGATGGCACAAGTAAATCAAATTTGGAACTTTTTGCAAAGATGTTAACTTTGCTTAAAAACACTTCACAGAGGCTTAGCTTTGAAGAGAGAAATAAAAACAGCCATTGACCACTTAGCGTCTAACCTTATGCTGCATTTGCTAAGAAAAGTGAAGAAGACTTTGTCCTTATGGTTACTGGTTAGCCAGAACATAACTGAGTAAGTAAGTGACTTTTTCAGCAATTGGCGACTCAACAATTGTTGATCATCTGATATGAAATGCGAGCCATAGAGACCACTAAAATGAATTGGCTGATTGATTTAATGCAATTATCTTATGTAAACATTTATAGCAGTTGCATCCATCAATAATAGAACATTTCTGCAGATGAGAATAATTCTGGGGTTTTTCCAACAAATAAAACTGGTGAAGTTCACTGCTGCATATCTTTAATTTCTCTCAATAAAATAAACAAAACAAAACAAAACTTGCAATCACGAAAAATGCCTTCAGCCTTTTTAAACAGAAGACTGCAAGCAGAAGAAAACTCTGTAAACAAAGCTCATGGCATTACAATACAAATACTTTAAGCACTTGTGAATTAAAAAAAATGGAAAACAGTAGAATCTGGCTTGGCCAGGCAAAGAGAGGTTTGGATTGTAGGGCCAAAATTTGAGAAAATGTGCATACAGAAATTTAATGCACACAGGATATCACGTAGTATTATTTTTGCAGATTGCCTGCTGAAAGTGTTAAGTATTATATGATGTTAGACAGTTATCACCATTCTGGATCCTTCTGTGACATTTTGGAAGCTTTCAAACAAACTCACCAACTAAAACACCTCAAGATCTTTTTTATTTCTTTCAAGTGACAATTAACTTTATAAACAAGTTCTGCTAAAAGTTATTGTTGTTGTCTTATCACACCATATATCACATTTCCACCAAAATATATGTTTGCGTTTACAAGTATATACAGACTCAAATTTCCGTAACCAGTAACCATATGTCCTCTCAGAGGACTTTTTGTGAAAAAATCAGGCAGCAGGTTTGCATGTCAGTAAATAAAAGATTTTGATTAAAAGTAAGCAATCAGTAAAACAATAGTTACCAGGAGGATAATACTCAATGACCATTTACCAAAATTCAAAACAGAAAACTCTGTTTAAAGCCATTTTATTCTGAATGGAACTAATAGGCTAGCAAAAGCAAAATTGCTGTCCATATTATTATTCATGAAGTACTTTACTGAGGTAGCCACCAACTTCAAATCTCATTGAAAGCACCGTTAAGATCACAAGAATAAAGGAAATGATCTCAAACTTGGGGAGATCTTGAATGATGATTTTAGATATATGAAATTCATATATTTGCACTCCAGTGTTATTTATCACTTGGATGGTTTATTAGGACCCAACAAATTGACCAGCTCCTAGATGGCTTGTCAGCCCAGTTGGTAGAGCACTGCACTGGTATTGCAGAGGTCATGGGTTCAAATCCCGTACGGGCCTGAAAATTTTTTCAGGTCTTATTTCAACTACTAGTTCAGTAGTGTTCTTAGCTGTGAAGATCTTGAATGTTACAAATTCTCCTTGTCAGTACCTTTGGCATTGTATGGAGAACAGTATAGAGAATATACAGACTGATGCTTAGGTGTGAAGGGTTAAAGCCACTACCAAGCTGTAGTCTTATACCAAACTCACCTCAAGGTCATTCTTCAAGGAATGTCCAACAAGGATTTTCTCTTTAAGTATTCTTGAAACTTCAAGTTGAACTGTCTTGAATTCTGGAGCTTGACATGAAAAGAACAATTCCTCAATAAATTGTGATACACAAAACAAGCAGAAACATTTACAAGACCAGTAGCTACAGGCCATAAATATATACACAATCATGCTTTTTTTTCAATATTTATTCAATGAACTGTGAATTGTATCCTTGTTAAACATGATTCTTTTATAGGGAAAGCTTAAAGCATGATTACGAGTTTGAAACAAGAAGAGACAAAATTCGAACCGGATATAAATGTATATTCAAATCACAACATTTGCATTATAACAATCACTTTGATAATTTTACATCATTCATGACATGACCTTGAGCCAAATGTTTTCCTGTTCATCCATTCCAATCAACATAAATATTATTTCCTTTCATTGACAAAAACAGAAGCGAAGGAGGTTTGGCAGAATCTCAGTAATATCCTGTGTAAGAATGTAGAATAGAATCCTAAATAATGACAGTTGCCAACATGAAGTGTTTCAAAACAAGGAACATTTACTCTGGTACACAAAAATAAGTATGTGAGCTAGTACTGACCATTTTTTAAATTTTCAGGTCTAATTCCACTGACATGAGTGCGGTAATCAACCACTTTCTCCTGTGGTGCCACAAACGAGTCATAGACCACGTGACCATGTGAGTTAACGATGGATACTCGTGCCAACATGTGCCTCTTTGCATCAGACCCAACTCCTACCATTTCACAGTCCAGTGCAATCCTTTTTGTTATCCTATCACATAATTTTAAAATTAGTGGCTGATGAATACCAAAAAATGCATAAAACATCCCCTGCCACAGAGGGGGGGGTTAAGTTATGTTGAGGGCTCTTATGTCTCTCCATGTTCTATCTCCATTCCAGCATTTTACGAAATTAAAGTTGAAACGCTATAAAAGTAGAAAGCAAAGAAGCCTATTTATGTTAGGTGCCCACTAAAAATTTTTCTCTTAGCATTTCATTCTCGATGTGCAAGATCTTTGGTGAAAAAGTTCTTTAGCAACAAAGTGATAGAATATAGAGTAGCAAAAATTAATTATACAACAGGAGATATCACAAAATAATATTTTCCTTTATTGCTTCAAATAATCATTTCCTTTGCTGATTTAGAGGCAATTTTGGAACATGCATTTCAGTTAACCCTTTAACTCCCAGATCAAATTTGAAGTTCTCCTTAATGTACTGGATCAACTAATTATCCCCAAATTGAAATTTTTCTCAATTCTCATCACTTATCTGTTTGATATTGCATTGATATTGTAAGGAGAAATTCTGTCTTGGTCACTAATGGGAGTTAAAGGGTTGAAGAAACAACTTAAAATTCAAAGTACATTCCTTACACTACTACTGGGGTACAGCATGGTTCTTTCTTTATCCATACAAGTCAAGATGAAACTGTTAGTATAATGTAACTAACCCTTCCGGACTGCCAGTTACTAGCATATCATGTGGATCTCCAATTGTTGTCTTTGACTTTGTTTTTTTCCCAGTAATTTCCTCAAGGTCTTCTGGATCCACATCATCAAACCACACTTCACTTGAACTTGAATTCAACAAAAACATATATTGTAAATACAGAGATCATCATGATTACACACACTGTGTGACTGACAGATAAACTTGGACAGTTTTCTTCTAGTTTGTGCCTAAATAGCCTTGTCACTCCCAAGACCTCATAAGTAACTCCCCAAACTGCCCATGGCACAATTCTTACATATATGCTCCTGATCTCAATAATTAACAATCAACTGTTACCACTGGACTTCACAACCTTGTTCTGGAGAATGTTATTATGATGTAACACCAAATTCTGTATATTAAAAATGCAAGAAATATGCTATGGGAGGAAAGGAGAATTTCCAAGCACATCAAGGGAGTTGAAAGGGTTTGCAACCCATTTGATCACTCCAAATAATCAACTGTTACCTCAAGGTCTAATCACATCTTTCTAGAGAGTGTTTCCATGATGTAACACCTAATTCTTTAAACTTATAATACAAGAAAATGTACAACAGATAGAAAGGAGAATTTCCAATCAGATCCAGGGAGTTGAAAGGGTTGACAATGATAGTGTTTCCTAATATTTTCTTCCACATCTTTGTACTTGGTATTTTTTTCAAGGTAATACAGCTTTTGTATGAAAAGTTCTCACCTTGTTGTGTTTTCTGATTTAAGATTTGGCTTCAGAGTTCTCTTTAATGTTTTCTTCTGTCTTCTTTTTTTATCTCCAGTGGTTTCCTTGGCATTTTTCTCTCTCTCTAGTAACTAAGAGATAATATATCACATGAGATAGACTTGATTTGGCCTACTGATGATCACCTTACTTCATATGCCATTTGGTATTTAAAAATTTACCTTCTCTGAACTGAAATATTATTTTTAGTCAGTCTATAATTACTAACCCTGTATCTCAGTTGTCAAAGCCTAATATTTTTAAAATAAATCCTCATACTAGATGACAAATTGACGATATAGAAGCCATCAGTTGTAATCTCTTGAAATAACATGTTGAATAGAGACGGTGAAAGACTGCATGTGGCCACTGATATAGCACAACTTTTATACCATTGAAAATAAGTAGAGGTTTCATAATGATGCTAGAAGGTACATGTATTGTTGCTAAATATTTGTCTCACATGCAAAACAGAAAACCTGCTGCATCCCACATATTAATGACTACCCTGTCCCACAAGAGAAAGATGACTCAAGAATATATTGTCTAATTACATGTGAAAATCAACGAAGAGTTTAATAGTAACAAATAACAATATTAACAACAATAATAATAATATTCATAATAATAAGAATAGCAACACAATAATAATTTAAAGGGGGCTTGCTCAAAAGCCTCATGGTTCCATTATTCTTTGAGCTACAACAATGATTACTTGTGCTTCTTTTAATTTCCCCTGTTAATTATAAATAATTTCTCATTTTATTGCAATTCCCATTTCTTGAGACTTTTGTTTCATTCAAAAAGGCATTCTGTTTTTTTGGGTTATTCTGGCATACCTCGTTTTAAGACATTCTGCCTTTCTACCGTTCCACTGTTCAATCATTCTGCTGAATAACTCAAGGTATGTATGTCACTACTACCTCGCTTGTCAAATTTAGTGACTCTTTTCAGCATGAGTTGCTGATTCAAACGGTAAAATGCTCTCTTTTTAAAGAAAACAATCTCCCTCCAAGCTTCCATAACATATATATTATATCTATTGAGAAATTTCTGCAAGAAAAAGTTTTGATTTTTATTATGCATTGGTGGATGCCAATGTGGAATTATTTTGAGATGTTTATTGTCTTTTGTGGTGTCACAGCAAGAACAAGAAATATTATATCTTTAGATCTACATAATTTGGTGATTTAACCAGCAAAATGCTCTCTCTTCTAAGAAAAAAAATTTTGCCTCTAAATTTCATGATGTGTTGTTCATACTTATAAAGATATTTCTGCAAAGAAAACTTTTTTGTTAACAGCGCACAATCCTGAAATAATTGTGAGATGTTTATCATCTGCCGTTTTCAGCCGTAGTGGCTATACACCAGAATTCGCTAGAGAAGAGAACTCAAATGTGCATTAAGTGCAAATGTCGATCTACTCAGATTCTCTGAAAGAAACAATTTCTAGCACCGGGAAACACAAAGTCAAAATTAGGTCAAGATCGGAATGCTTTTGATACCCTCACTCACTCATCTCAACGACATAAGTCGCTTTGCCTCCAATAGGAGGCAGCAGCCACGAAAAATGAATGTTTCTTCAACAAAAATTTTAAAAACACTTGACTGTACGCGCCATTATCAAGAAGGATCCTTATAGCAACGAGGACGAAGTGCAATTTGACAATCGCTGTACTGTGTGAGCTCAATTCCCCACGTGCTTGGCAGTCGATCATCCAAAGAGGTAATAAAAGAAATTCATTAACACGGGGCATGGGACTAGGATATCAAAGGTAACAGACAAGAAAGAGCTTTACGGTATTTAAGGTTAATCAACGCTTAGATATTGACAATCAGAGAATTAAAAGAGTCTCGCTCAATGCTCACCGCTTGCAAAGCCTTCCAGTTAGACGATATTTCTGTGGCGGTTTTTGGTAATTGAGGTTGGATAATCTGCGTTCTTTTCACTTCTCGGTTTCCCTTTCCAGGTTCAATTTTTTTCTTTTTATTCCAATCCTTTGAATGCGGGTTTCGACTGTGTTTGCGTTTTCGTTTCAAGTTTTTGCTGCTGTATTGGTTCGCGACCTCTGCCATTTTTAATTTTTAGTGCAGGACTGCAATTATTTTGTACAGCTGAAAATATTTAGCATATATGTTGTCGAATAGGCGAACACGATGTGCCCTGGACAACGCACCGCTACTCTGAGTGCTCTCGCATCCTGATCTACAGAAAGCTGAGTCTCCTGGAAGGTTTCGAAACTGCATGTGTTTTGTTTACACGAATTTAAGGTCAAGTCTGTTTTGAAAAGTTCAGAAATCCCATTTTTCTCTGTAACGCCGACGAAATCCAGCGGCATATCCGCGTCCGCGATCGGAGGAGTGTGCTCACGTGATATCACAGCTAAAAGTAGTATCTTTCCTCAGAAATGGTATAGGTTACCTACAGTATGGCGGTTTCACCTGGCTGTAAAGTACGTTATCGTCACTTCCGACAGCTTTCATTCACTTTATTCCTTTTTTTTCCTCAGATTTACTCACCCTAACAACATTCGTCCGTAGGTACGCGTACTGTACGATTTTGAAGGTGATCGACCTTCTGGAGAACTCGTCGTCTACGCGGACGAAATTCTGACCGTGACCAGAACGGTACGTGCGGTTACGCTTATTTTGTAACGCTGATACCGTCTGCATTTGGGACTGCTATTATATAATATTTATGTTATTTCTTTGTTTTCGACAGGACGTCGGAGAGGGTTGGTGGGAAGGAGTTGGACCCGACGGATCTAGAGGTCTGTTTCCTGAGGCCTATGTAGAGGTGAGATATATAGGCTAACTGTCATGTAATTTTATATCCCAGAATGTGTATAGAATATTAACTAAAGGTATACTGTTCTTTATAATGAGTCTTACCCGAGTATGAATTTCCATATCACAAGAAAAGAAACCTTTCGTCCTAAATTTTTCACAAGGTTTTCCCGTATTGAATTTGGCAACGTCTGTCTGGTCTTGAGTACTTTATTTCCAATATTCAGGAAATTTTTTAAGCTTTAAACCTGAGATCACCTTTACAACCTTTACAACTCTCACTCTTATGGCATAAGATTTCCTCTGCATTTCCCTCTGCAATGTATTTATATTTACCTCGTTTTAAGGTCACCTTGTAGAAATGTATGGTACGTTAGGGATGAGACACCAGCATATCAGAGATAGGATTAATTCTCTAGCGGATCAAACTTACGCGGAGTTATTAGCAGTTTTAAGAAAGTGGTTAAATTTATCTGCACTTGCCAAAAGTTGTTTCAGTGAACTGACTAGTGTTAATGTGCAGAACAAGATGTAATGTGAAGTCTCAACTGGTATGAGATTTGTAACCAGTTAAATCACTGGAGTTTTGTTCAGTCTTTTTAACTATAGCAAGTTCAGCAATGGTTGCTTCATTTCATTGAAAGGTTTGATTGGGGAACCTTTTGCAAAAAGTTGCCAATCACAGCTGAGCAGAAATGTTATAATATTGCATACTCACTCAAATTGAGTGCCCGAGGAAGACTAGTAGCAATGTTGAAATGTTGTAATCCAAAATAGAAATGAGCACATTTTGAGACAAGTAATTATGCTTCATTATGAAAGCGTGTTCACCATGACAATAAATCACAACCTATTTAATAATTATTTGCTGAAGGTGAGATGAATATTTTTGAATAATCCCTGAGTTGAAGTGGAAGGGATTATTCAGCAATATTCACTGAGTCTATGGCCAGTAATTGTTAATTGTAGCATAAATGCTCAGTTGCTTTTGAATTCTGTTTTTTTTGCTGATACCATTCTATTACAATTGTTTTGATTACTTGTATCAAGATAAGCTACCAGTTTTAACTAGAATTTATCAGGTTTACATAATTCAATTGGCAAAAAGTTCATTTTTTTCTTTTGAAGAGTTACACCAAACTTAGTAGCATTTTTTGCATTTCTCAAAATTGTATTTTGTGCTATAGTGTTTATCACTCCTTGCCTAACATTTACAAAATGCAAGCTAACCATTTCAAAATGTTGCACTCCTGCTATTATTACAACTTGCAAGGTGAAAGCAGTGGGACATGATGGAATCCTAGACAAATCAAAGCTTGCTTCCCTATAATCACAAGAACAATTATTCTTATTTGCAATATTAGGGAACTGTAATTTGATTCGACACTTACTTCGCACAACCCATTTGAGAAATGTATAACAGACGTTAAGTAGAATTGCTATAGAGATCTTGAGAGTTGAAGGGCTAAGGAACTCTTGATACTTATGCTTCACAGCTAGCAGAGTATCCAGCACCACAGTCTGACAACCTCCGTCCTTTACCTTCGGCACCTCTGTATAATCAGGGCTCAGTGGATGGAGCAGATGGATGGGATGATGATTGGGATGATGATGAAACTGTCAGCAACTACAGTGGGGGAGACCAGGAGTCAACAATCTCATCATTACCAAGGAGAGGAACCAATTCAGGAATGGTTAGAACAGGGACAGTTCGAAAGAGTATGAACAGGTAATGAAAAGCCTTTGTATAATGGAATAAGGAGCTTTTTTTATTAAATTTCTCACTACCCAATACAAAGTTTTCCCAAATCCAATCAAAGAAAAAATTAATATCTTATGTAGGCAAATACAATTAGGGGAAAAAAACTTCTTTTAAACTCACTTGTTTACTTTACCTGTCTGGATCATGATTAGTTTATTTGTTGGAAAAAACCTGATAACAACGACAAGGTGAGAAGTAGGATTTGCTTTAAAATAAATGGCTATTCTTTGCTTGACAAAATAACACGCTCGTAATCTACATGTGTTTGGGCAGCAAATGTGGAAAATATAATTTTTTTTTTGTGTCCAAATTCCAGAAAAAAAATGGTTAATAGCTCATTTTTTTGGACAAGCAAGATCATATTTTTCCCTTGTTAAAATAGAAATGTCTTGGACAATTCTGTTCAGATTGATCTGCTCTGTAACTTGAGGGGAAAACAACTGAACAGCCTTGTACATGGGAAAGAATTGTTGACACCATAGACAACATAGATGCTTTTTATTATATAAAACAAATAGATCCCATGTTGCTGTGAGACTGTTCAGGAAAAGATCTCAGAATATGTCAAAATGTGGTGAGAGCATTCAATAACACTCTTGGCTGAGCCTTGTGTGACACTTTTTGGTTATACCACACTTTGATGTCATCTGTGATCTATTAACATACAGACGCACAGCAACATACAATAGTTTAGCTGTTGAATAGAATTTACTGTAAGATGACTTGCTATACCATTGAACTGCTTTTGTTTTAAAGGTTCTCGTACTTTGTGAAATCTGGTGGAGAAGCTTTTGTCATTGGTACACAACAGACAGATGTAAAAGTTCCACAGAATGAGAAAGTATCGATCATGGTAGAGTGTCTATCTCATTTTTTGTAAATGTTTGAATTTTAGGTGCTATATTAGAAGTGCCCATTAGTCAACTCTGTTTTTCTGTTTGTGATTTTCAGGAAGACAGAAAGCGGATTACTTGGTGCAGCCACCCAGACCCATTCACATGTGTGATAAATTCCCCTGAGAAAAAAAGTAAATTTAAAGGGATGAAGAGTTTTATTGCGTACAACATAATACCCAGTGTGAGTATGTGTTCACCAAAAGTAATTTAACATTGTATATTAATTAAAGATATGCCGCATTCAGTGGTTCACTGTACAACAAGTACACAGTACATTTTATCATTTGTGAATGCAGTTAGGAAAAATACTTGTAAGCAAGGAGCAATTGTCCACTAGCTCTTATTTTCTGTGATACCACTAAATAAGGGATTTACTAAGCCATGATTATTCAATTTTCTGGTAACCTGAAGTTATGAAAGTGAAGCTTTCAAAACATAAACTGCATTTAATCAAAGATTGGTTTGTTCGGTGCAGCTATTTTGTTGCTTCACTTTCCATCTCTTTTTAGTCCTTTCCTACAGTGTAGTTCCATCCCCATAATCTCACCTTGACATCTAGTTATTCCAGCTTTAGAAATTTACTGAAAGGATATTTTATAGAGGGCATGGAATAAAACTTGTCCAACCTTTGACATAGCATTTTCTTGTCATCATCTGTTGAAACACCCGACAAGCCAATCTAGACAAACTACCAGCTTCTATTTGGCTTCCTTACTACACCCCTTGAAATTCCTAACATTACTGAACTGCTACAGAACTGTAAATTATATAAATAACTCTTAGTCGTGGTCATCTTTGATGTAATTGTTAATATGTGATCTCTATAACCTTCCTTCTTTTTCTTGTCATTTTGCATAATAGATAAAAATAATTAATAAACAGAAAAATCCCCTGTTTTGTGCCTTTTTGTTTCCTTAAATGGATATAGTGAAATAGCATGCTCTTAGGACATAGATTTAATGAAATAAATTACTTTTTTTCTTTAGAATACTGGAGTTGTTGTCAGCAGACGGTACAAACATTTTGATTGGCTGTTTGGCCGCTTGGTTGAAAAGTATACATGTATATCAATTCCACCATTACCAGACAAACAAATCACAGGTTAGTAAACAGCACTCACTTATTATTTTACTCAAATAATCTTTAATTTATCACTGGTTACCTGGTTAGTGTGCTTTAAGAGTGATATTGTCTTGTGGGACAGTAAGGGTTTGAGTGTCCAGCCAAACTGCATCAGCTCTTAATTGAGGAGAATGCACTGCCTTCCTGATTACTTTACCAAAGGGATGATGCATCAAGTCTTCTCAAAGTTGGACTATAAGGATTATGGTTCCAGTTTTTCACACCCTCAATTTTTGTCATCAGTAGGGAAAAATTAAACAATTCACATACATATCAAAGATGTTTGGAAAATTTGATGGAAAAATTCTTGGAGGTATAATATTGAAGCTATGAGTTGGCCCCTCTAAAATCAGGGACCAAATTACTAACTTGTTGTGTGTTGCACTCTTTTGAGCTGAGAGATGGAAAAGCTGACAGCTACAGCTGTAGAGAGGTTCTGCTGTTCCATCTGAACACAAAGGCTTAACCTTGTAACTCCTAACATCTGATTGTTAATTCTCCCCATCTGGCTACCTCATATTTCCTTGTTAATTAGTAACATGATTTGGTGTTAGATCAAGATAACAACCTCTACTTAATCAGATTGAGTATTCTTATTACCTGTTTGCTGGATTTTGTATGGATATTTTAGGGAGAAGGTACATATTAATCATGTCTGGGAGTTAAAGGGTTTAAAAGAAATGCTATTAAATATTTTTTTGTTTGGCTTTTAGGGAGATTTGGTGAAGAGTTTGTGGAGAAAAGAAGAGATAAACTTCAACTGTGGATGAACAGAATATGTCTTCATCCTGTGCTATCTCAAAGTTTTGTGTTCAAACATTTTATTACATGTGGGGAAAATGAGAAGGTAATCACATAAACAGAACAAACTCCCTGAGAAATAAGAGGGATGAGGTGTAGTAAGAAGGTACTTTCTCTCCCAGGTGAAGTGGTACCTCTACAGACAGCATTATCATCTGCTTTCCTAATTTATTGGGTATTTGTTATTAGTATACACTAAATTAGGAGATGGCATCAAAGGTGTGCTCTGATTGGCTACTCAAATCCCAAATATTCTTTGCTATTCACCAGTGAGCAACTCATGCAGGAATGGCACCTGAAAAATATTGTAATTGTCATAGGAATGAATGATTGAAAATCATATTTTTGAACTATAGTATCTCACTTATTTAGTATATACTAAAGCAAATATTCACCTTAGTATTGGTGGCTAGTGATGGTTATTTTTACCTCTCCTCATTCTGGGGTGGTTAATATCCACCATCACCCACCTTCACTTGGTGAATAGTTTTAAACTGTACAGTATAATATGTATTGCAGTATCTTTTGACTTCAGCGCCTCCCTAATAACCAATGAGAAATAGCCATGGTGCAGTTTATACTTACACATATATACATAAAATATATTCAGAGCTTTTCAATTCAGTTTCACAAAACCAAAAAGTATTGTAACTTATTACAAATTGGACCAGTCAGACCAAAGGGAATTGAATTAGGAGCGAGACACTTATTAGAAAAAGTTTAAAGAAAAACCCAAAACTAGACTTGAGGCAAGTGTAAGTATCTTATCCAACTTACTTTAGGTTAAGTGTTTTTGTCTTAAAGTTGAGGAGGTGATGGGTTTAAAATGTTCTTCAATTTTCAAAACCAATTTGATAATGTGGAGGTGATTGGTTTCTCTTTGCAGGAATGGAAGCAAGGAAAACGAGCAGCAGAGAGTGATAAACTTGTTGGTGCATCTTTTTTTATGACAGTAGACCGTCCCCAAGAAAGATTAGAACTTGTGCCAGTGTAAGTAAAAAAGGAGATGATGCTTGTCATGTTCTGATTGGTCAAAACCTATTTTTTATTGTACCAATGAACTCATATCTATTTTAATTTCCATTTTCAGTTGGTTTACTGCCAAAATACTTTTTATTTATTGTAGCGAATACAAATCACATTGTAATCTTGTTTCACAAAGTAAGATTTAGAGCTTGTTGCTGTTGTATTTTTTGCCTCCTGTTACTCCTATTGTACAATAAATCTGTTACATGTCTACTTGTGAAAGACGACATCCTTATGAATGTATCAAAGGCTGCATGATGTCATGAAATTTCATCCAACACAAATGTTTGCAAGACTTCAATAAATTTATACCATGAATTGTAAGTAATTTACACCAAACAACTAACCCTGCAAATCTTCTGTTTTTCAGAGAAAATAGAATAGAACAATTTGGACGATTTATCAAAAGTATGGATGAAAGTGTCAGGGCAATTCAGGACAGAGGTCAAGTACACTGTGAGAAGTGCCAAGGATGTAAGCAAATATATTTTCATCTCAATTTTCTTTGCCATCTAAGATTACTTTTCAATTAGAGAATTTTTTTTGCAGGCAAATGGAAATTGCTAAAAAGCAATTGCAGAAAGAAGGTGCTAAAATGCCTGCTTCAACATATTTTAAACCCATGACTCTCAGATACCAGTTGGGTGCAACTATGAGCTGTGAAGCCACATGTTGGGAGAAATGCAAATTTAAGCAAATTCTCCATTTCCCTAAAAGGAATTTACACTAAAATGAATGAAGTGATCATTACCAGTATCTGGGAGGCATGAGTACAAAACCCTGTCAAAGCCTGAACTTTTTCAGGCTTCTCTTCAGCCAAGATGGCCTCGTTACTTCTATATCATCCACAGCTTAAAATACAATTTGTTTCATTTCGAACTGACTTTTTGTCACTTGTTAAGAGTTGCAGTTGGTGTGCACTGTGGTATGTTTTATTGTAAATGTAAGAGGGGAAACTTGAGACATGCATGGTTTTGTAGGTGTCTTAGGGGTATATGCTCTGCTTCATTTGGGTTAAACTTTTTCCTGTTCAGCATACAGGAATGAATATAAGAAGATTGGTAGCACTTTTGGATCTCTTAGCACAGCTTTTGCTATTGATGAAGATTCGCCAAGTAAGTCATGCTGCTGTTAGCAGTCTCTCAAATAAAACATTCATGAGGATTTATACACTATTGTTCCCCTTTCAGTGTAATCTTTCTGTTCATGATGCTCAGGAATGCAATTACATCAAAAATATATATTAAATGCTGTTGTGCTTTATGGAACAAACTTGTGCATGAGAAAACTAAAGTTCAAAAAGCAAGTTACAGAAATTAGGTAGCATTAGGTACATGTGTATGGCAGTTTTTATTACATATCATATTTGCGCTTTCAGAATTTAACAGTATGTTCAATTTTTTTGAACAACACAACTTAGGTCTCCTGTACTAAAGTTCCACAGAAATGACTCAGCTGTATTTTTTGAAATGTAGTACATGTTCTATGGTTTCATAATTCTGTTTTCAATATAACTTTTTTGGGTTCTCTTGTTGTTTTGTTTAGGTTCTCAACAATTAACTCAAGCAGTAGAGCATACAGCAAAAATTTATGATGATATTGGAGAAATGATAGCAGAACAGGTTTGTAAGAGACCTCATAGAAGTAATTTAGCAGCATTTCACTTGTAATAGATAAAAACAGATTCTTAAAGAAACTTTCTACTGCCTGCTCCAAAGAAGGAGCACTTGGTGAAAGTGGGAAAATAGCCTGGTAGCTGCAAGTTAATGAAAATTAAAATTTTACTGCAACAAAATTATGCCTATAACCCCAAGAAAACTATAGTTTAAATTTTGGTGATAATTGCACAGTTTCACACAACCTTGATACTTTATCTCATAACCCCTCAGCTCCTCTGTTAGACATGCCATGTCAAAATTCTATTTTCCACAAAAAGTCATGTTTTCTTTAGACAAGTTTTAGAATTCTATGCAACTATTTTACAATGGTAATTGAAAAACTTGAGGGATATTTTTTGAGCCCAATTTCACAAATCTAACTGATTTTAAAATGCTTTTAGATACCCGACAAACAAGAGTTTCCAACTGGTAAAACAATCTTTTAGCTCAGGAGATATTTATATCCTGGTCTCTTAAGGTCTCATACAACCTCTTTACCACTTGAGCCATTTTTTTTGTTTCATATGTGAGGTTTGGAGTGCAAAGGCTTGATAAAAAGGTTGCGGAATTTGTCAGTTTGAATTAGCATTTCTACCTCTGTTTGATTCACAGGATGGTGTTTTCACTTGTTAATATGATGTGCAATGTTTTTTTTTTAGCCCAAGAATGACTTTTTACCTTTGTTAGAAGGACTTAAGGAATATTCAGGAATGCTAAGCACCTACCCAGATGTACTACAAGTTCACAAGGTGAACATCATAAGATTGCTAAAATCTTTTGATTGCATTTGCTGCCTTTATGGGTAAACAATATATCCTAAAGTTACTCTGCTATTCCTCAAAAGGGTACAATCGGCAAAGTGAAAGAATGTCAGAGACTTAAGGATGAAGAGAAGATGGAGGTATTGCAGCATATAAATCTTGTTACATGTAATCTTTACTCCTTTTTTAGAGATATGTATTATGATAACTGCATGAAAAAATATAAATGCTTTCATTTGACAATTATGGTTTACATTTCCAATAAGAACAAGGCTGAGTTAGACACTCAGTCAAACCTGTATTAAGCGGTCACCCACTGGGAATGGTAGGGTTATGGCTTATTACAGGTTCTTCAGATAAGGGGTATTATAAAAAATGGTTCACAAAGCCTCTTGATGCCATAATTGACCACTTAGTATACAGAATCTTGCTAAAAAATACTATTTACTCTGATTTTGGAAGAGAATCAAGGATTAAACATTACTTTAAAGATTATTCTTAGTTTTATAAGAGAGGTTTGGCTTTAGGTGCTGCTCAATATAGGTGGAAAACAATACAAACAGGCTTTTGCAACTTAGCAAAGGGTGACTGCCACCGCTTAATTGAGGTGACCACTTAAAAGAGGTGAAAATTACAGTGATTAAGGGCAAACAAATTTGGGACTTTGGCAACTGGTGGCTAAATATAGGGTAACCACTTAATATGGTGCCATTTAGTATAGGTTCAACTGTACAGAAACAATATCATATATACTCAGCAAGCCTTTTAATTTCTGTTGTATACCTGGAAATAGTAGAGGACAGGAATCATAACAGAGAAAAAGCAGGCAGAGAAAATTTCCTTCGCGCTTATCCGTTCTAAATTGCACAAGAAATAATTTTGTTACTTAATTGTTAATAGGAGTTAACTATACACAATCAATCAGTTTACAGCAGATTTATTTTGCTTTTGGTACTCAATTAGTTTATTTAACATTGTGCACTCTCAGCCAGTAATTGCATTGCTCACCAGCAAGTTTTCTGTAGTGTAGTGGTAAAGTAACAGAGCACAAAGGTTGAATCCCTCATTGGAGATCCAATGAGTAATATCTTTCCGTAATTGGTGTAAACCTTTCACAAAACAACTCTGGAATGTGTCATTCTGAACAGTGAGAAATTTATGTATTGACTTTGGTTTCTGAGATGTCGATGTTATGATTGACAGCAGTGCAAAAGTTAAATTAACATTATGTGTGATGCAACTTCAACCCAATGCATGTAGGTTACATGTTGTGGAAAGGTACAGGAGACCTAAGTTGTGTTGTTCAAAAAAATTGAACATACTGTTAAAGCTGCTTGTTTATCAGCCTCCACTGTTGTCAGCATGTTACTTTGCTTTGAAAAATTTGCATAGGTGATTCCTCAGTAGGATTTAAATTCAGTTTCTATGACAATTATTATCTTCTTGCATGCAGTGGTGTTTGAAAATTAACAGTGAGAATTAAAACCAGTAGTTATCAATTTATTTTTTATTATCATTATTATGATATCTTTTCAGGATTCTACTTTTGAAGAAGTTTGCTCACGAGCAGACACCATAACATATGTTTCATATGGTAAGTGCACCATAGAATATTAAAGAATAAAGGTGCCTCGGAACCTAAACTACAGACTTTGTAGGAAACTCGATGTGCTGATTACCATTTGATTTAACAAACATTGAGGGATTTTCAAACTTGTTTTGAAGTGAGAGCCAGATAAAGTTGAAGTTAGGGCCGGTGTTCCAAGAGGCTATAGTATTGCTATGGTAATATCTGGTATGGGGAAAAAAAGGCATTTTATTGTCTACTGATGCTTGCTGGGAATTTTTATCTTACATGATACTATCACCAAAGCAATTAAACTATGTAAAAGTGTAGGACTTGATGTATGGTTGCAAAAAAAGGAGTGACTGAGGGTAATTGTTCTAAGCCCCCTAAATTTCATGTAGCTCTGTTTCTTTGTAGTGACTCGTTTAGCCAGGATGGATATATTGTTTCATTTGTGACCCAGAAATTAAAAATTGACTAGAACAGAATAGAAATTTGTACTTGATACAGTAAAATTTATTAATCAAACACATACCGTTTTAACTGAGTCATTTTTATTAATCCCTACCAGGGACACAAATTTGTCAAAGTACATATTGACCAATTTTCTATACTTAATGTGTTTTTTTTAAATTTATATTTCTTTCTGTTCACAGCTGAAATGAGCCATTTTCATGATCAAAAAGTTAAAGACTTTAAAAGTATGATGCAGCACTTTCTACAAGAACAAATCAGCCATCATCAAAGGGTAAAGGGTTTAACTTAAATTGGTTGTTTGAAAGTAAACAGTCATGCAAAAATCACTACAGCCTTTGTAGCATTTTTTTCAATAACTATTCATGGAAGTGGAGGTGAATATTTTTTAACATTCACCATTTTCTCCAACACTGAGGTGAATAATTGTTTCAGAATACACCTCACAGAAACCAAAAAAATAGTTTAATTATTCCCATCAACATTCCAGAAAATGGTCAGATATTAAATTGTTGACACCTTATTTTGTCTCTTTTGCTGCTCAGAGGTGACTAGTACTTGCTTATCACTTCCAAACCAGCCAATCAGTTTCCACAAAAAGCACCATATTCACCTGTGCTCTATATTTCTGATTACTTTTATTACTCTTTAATGATACATATATATATCACCAATATTTTTACAATGTTAATTCAAATTTCTGCTTTCAATTAATTTAAACCCTTTTCAGTTATTTAACTTTAAAACCCATGGAGAAGCTTGTTATGTTTTACAGAGGTTTATTTGCCTTCAAAGTAGTCCCATCTTTCAAAATTAGCCTTCACTAACAGAATAATTTTGTAACTCAATGACACCTGCATTATTTTATTTAACAGTTTGATAACATGCAAAAAGTAAATGCAATAGAAGTCTAAGTGCAGCTTTAGGTCAATTTAGTGTTCCCATTTTCTGAGAATTTTCTGCCAATCCTTTCTCTGTTGTAATTCCTTTCCTCTGCTGTTTGTAGGTAATACAGAAGTTAGAAGAATCCTTGAAGATGTATGATAACGTTCAAATATAACTCATCATGATCCTTTTCAGACGTTGATTCTCCTGTGAAATACATGCATCTCTTATTTTTTACATACAATGAAACATGCAAGTAGTAATGGTTATAGGACTGAGTAGAGTCCAGTTCCATCTGTAGTCATACAAGTGATTAGCAAGTGGGAGTCCAATTTGTTAATCACAAGTATGATTACAGACAGAATTGGACAACACAAAGTCCTGTTACTAATAAATCAAAACTATGACAAAATTAAAGAAAGAAACAAGACATTCGTTCTACATTCTTATAACAAAAAAAAACCAGTTAACTCGCCAAAATGTAAAGCAATAGTATGTGCACATAATGTGTTCTGTCCACTTACTCAGGCATAAAGTGTTAATTATCCTTGGTAATAAGCAATCACCTTCAAGAATTTTGTTATAGTTTTGATTATCAGCTTAGTTTGTCATCTGTGCAAGTAAATGTAAAGAGAGGAAATAATTATTATGATAAGAAAGCACTTTTTGTTACAGTGAGTATCTTGTTAACCCTTTTACTCCCAATATCTCATTGGCAACTCTCCTTACTGTCTGCCATACAGTTCTTGTGCTGTTAGTTTGGAGAATTTGGTTTTGG